GCGGCGGGAAGGGCGGTCCCTTTCCGGGCCCTGGAGCGGGTCACCCGGGCGGGGACACCGCATTTCACACCCGCGCGTGTGCTGTGTGCGCCACGGCCACGGCTCCCGCGCCTTCTCCCTCGGGGCATCTCCACCAGGACTCAGCGATCTGCAGCCTCCAAACGTGCAGCAGAGCGGGTCTGGGAAGAGCCAACATGCCCGCAGCGGGGATGCCGGAAGTCCCGCCCCTTCGAATTCAGCTTCGCTGGAAACACCTTCATTGGCTAAGTTGTTGGTATGCCACACATGGTGTTCTGGGTAATGTAGTCATTGAGTCCAAGTAAGTGATCAGGGTTTGTTTTTTTTTTTTTTACTTTTTCTTGTTTTTCCCCAACATCACTCCTGTAGAAAATACGGAGATCGCCACTGGAGGGGCTATGAAATGTCACGTCCTCATGAGAGAGACATCTTGAAAATGGCTACAGAAAGGTGTCATCTCTTCCTGGTGAAGGGACTTGAGTCCATGTTGGTGAAGAGAGATTATCTGTCCTGGCCATTGTCACGGAATGGTTTAGCGTGGACTAAACCACTAGGAGGTCATGGTTTAATTACCAGTCCGGGACATGCCCATTTCAGGTGGATCCCCAGTAGGGGGCGTGCAGGAGTCAGGGGATCAATGATTCTCTCCCATCATTGATGTTTCTGTCTCCCTTCTCCTTTCCTCTCTCTGAAATCAATTTTTTAAAAAATATATTTTATTGATTTTTTACAGAGAGGAAGGGAGAGGGATAGAGAGTTAGAAACATAGATGAGAGAGATGAAATCAATTTTTTAAAAAATACATTTTATTGATTTTTTACAGAGAGGAAGGGAGAGTGATAGTTAGAAACATCGATGTGTGTGTTTCCATCTGTCACTGTCAATCATGAATTTGGTTGACACTTCTATTATAGAGAAAGGGCAAATAGTGATATTAAAGTATTTCTTTTAAGTTCCTTTCAATGTGCACTAATTCGTGCACCGTGCCACTAGCATTCAGATAACTGAGATGTAAGGAGCTCCAACGAGCCATCTGGAGAATCCCAGGTAGAAACCCATACTGAACCTCAGTGCCCACAGCACCTGCTTCCCTGCAGGTGGTTTAGCAAGTTCTTCTCAGAAGCACCTAAAATACAGGGCCTTGTGGGAATTTCAGGAAAGGAGGGGTGGTTGCCCTGCAAATGTCTCTGCCGGCAGAGGCAGAAGCTACATGAGCCAGAAAGGCTGCAGGCACAGCTGCTGCACTGCAAATGGGCACCTTAGCTCTTGATTTCCTCCAAACGCTTAGGAGGTATGGAGATACACCTCATTCCCATTTTACTGAAGAGAATACTGAGGTCCAGAACAGAGGGAGGGGTCATTTCCTTATGAGTCCCAATTTTATTCAAGAATCTGCAATTCATTGCCCTGGCCGGTTTGTCTAAGTGGATAGAGCATCGGCCCTTGGACCAAAGGATTCTGGGTTCAATTCCAGTAGAGGGCATGTACCTTCATTACAGGTACAATCCCCGGCCCCGGTTAGGACATGTGCTGGAGGCAATCAGTCAATGTTTCTCTCTCTCTCTCTCCTCCTGTCACTTAAACAAACAATTAAACAAACAAACAATGGCATTACTAGGGTGAGGATTTTATAAAAAAGAAAAAAGAATCTGCAATTCAAATACAGGGTGCCTGACCCAGGGCATGGGGGGTTTTATCACTGGCCTTTCAAGCCCGTGTTAGGATATGTGGTAGAGGCAATCAGTCAATGTTTCTCTCTCTCTCTCTCCTCCTGTCACTTAAACAAACAATTAAACAAACAAACAATGGCATTACTAGGGTGAGGATTTTATAAAAAAGAAAAAAGAATCTGCAATTCAAATACAGGGTGCCTGACCCAGGGCATGGGGGGTTTTATCACTGGCCTTTCACTTCCTTCTGCACTGGATTTGGCTTGGGGACTCCAAAACACCCTGATCATTCTGATGCTATCTGGCCCGTATGGCTCAATTGTTTGAAGCATCATCCCATGGACCAGAAGGTCTCAAGTTTGATTCCTGATCAGGAAACATACATATATTTTGAATTTGATCCCAGGTTGGGGCATGGGTGGCAGGCAGCCAATTGGTGTTTCTCAGATAGATTTCTGCATGATAGCAGATGGAAAATGGGAGAACACTATAAAGCAAAGGATTACTGTATTATTAAATGTCTCGATTTCTGAAAATGATGGACAATGTTAGTAGTGTAGACTAACATTAATGTCTATTACATTGTGCATAGCATAAAAATTGAAAACTATTACAACATATTATTCCAGTAAACAAAATACTGCATAAAGTGAAAAGACACAAAATTAGTGAAATTGAAACATGCACCTTTGTTTTTTTACTGTCCTTTTGCTAAAGAAAACTGCCAAAACTCATAGCAGGTTAGGCAGAACCTATGATCAGACATTGTACCAAAGATATAGACATAGCAAATATAGATCTGAGAAAACACTCACCATAAAATCTTAGGAAAATACAATCAAACGAGTGAGGTGGCATGATCTCTATATATAAAAAGCCAGCAAACATAACGCTGTAATGACAGGAATGACCGGTGTTATGATGCTCACTGTGGCCAGCAAACCGCCCGATCAGGAGGTGGGGCCAGCCAAACAATCTCCCGTGGCCACTCCCCTAGGCTTCTCCCCCAAGCCGCTGGCCCCCGGACAGCACCCCCACCCCATTCAGGGATGGTGCCTGCTGGCCTACAGCCCCTCCCCAAGGGTGGCTACGCCCCAATCGGTCCCCCAAACCCAATCTCCTGAGGCTGTCCCTTATCGGGCCAGCTGGGCCGCCCAACTTTCTGCCATCTCCTCCTCCTGGCAGGCCCAGCCCCGAACTGCCCCAATTGAGGTGGGCCGGCTGGTCCCCACCTATGCACAAATTTGTGCACCTGGCCTCTAGTAAACTTATTAAAAAAGTTGAAATAATGAAAAACTGACCAAACCAGATATTTTCTAGCAGGTGGAGAAATCAAGTTCCTCATACACTGCTGGAAGCATGCAAAAATGTACAGTTTAGATCACAATTTGCTAATCTGTGTAAGTTAAACATTCACATACAGGATGACTCAGACTCTGCACTGAGCTATTAAAAAGGTCAATGAGCCAGAACCGGTTTGGCTTACTGGATAGAGCGTCGGCCTGCGGACTCAAGGGTCCCGGGTTCGATTCCGGTCAGGGGCATGTGCCTTGGTTGCGGGCGCGTCCCCGGTGGGGGCATGCAGGAGGCAGCTGATCGATGTTTCTCTCTCATCGATGTTTCTGGCTCTCTATCGCTCTCCTTTCCTCTCTGTAAAAAATCAATAAAATATATGTTAAAAAAAAAAAAGGTCAATGAACCCTGCCTGTGTAACTCAGTGGTTGATCTTTGACCTATGAACCAGAAGGTCATGGTTCAATAACCAGTCATAGCACATGTCTGGGTTTTATGACGCCCACTGTGGCCAGCAAACCGGCCTGATCAGGAGGTGGGGCCAGCCAAACAATCTCCCGTGGCCGCTCCCCCAGGCTTCTCCCCCAGGCCGCTGGCCCCTGGATGGCACCCCCACCCCATTCAGGGATGGTTCCGGCTGGCCTACAGCCCCTCCCAAAGGGTGGCTACACCCCCAATCGGTCCTCCAAACCCAATCTTCCGCGGCCTGTCCCTTATTGGGCCCCCATCTGGTCGGCCCAGCTGGCCAACTTTCTGCCATCTCCTCCTCCTGATAGGCTCAGCCCCGAACTGCCCCGATTGAGGTGGGCTGGGTGGTCCCCACCCATGGATGAATTTGTGGACCTGGCCTCTAGTAAACTTATTAAAAAAGTTGAAATAACGAAAAACTGACCAAACCAAATATTTTCTAGTAGGTGGAGAAATCGAGTCCCTCATACACTGCTGGAAGCATGCAAAAATATAGTTTAGATCACAATTTGCTAATCTCTGTAACTTAAACATTCACCTACAGGA